ACCTCCCAGCTCCTCGCACCCTTGCAACACACTACTCAGCAAGAGGCTATGTGATGGAGCAAGCAGGGCTTTGGCTCCTGGGGGAAGGTTCTTCCCGGAAGCTGGCTCTGCTCTGCCAAGCTCAGGTCAAGACAACCTGACGGACGGCAATCTGGGTCCCAGTCCCCCTCTGAGCCACGCTGCTTCCGTTCCTGTTTCCTCTGCCTCCCTTTAGCTCTGTGGCTCTATCTCCACGGTGGAGGAACTGGAGGACACCTCTGCTGGGGCAACCAGCAGAGGGAAGAGGCAGAGGAGCGAGGGGCCCTGAAGGGGCAGGTGCACGTAGGGCTGGGGAGCCCTGGCCCCGGAGGCTCCTCCTTGGCAGGCCGCGGGTGTGGGTAGGAGGCACATTGCCGCTTGACAAATGTGCCTCACAGGCTTCTGGCTCCTGTCCCTCACATGTGCCACGTTAGCATCCTGCCCACCAGGAGGAGGGAACAGCAAGATGCCGTGTGAGGAAGAAATAAACCCAATCCAGCATCTCAGATGCTTTTAAAAATAGCAACTCTGGGATGGTATTTCAGCTCCTATTTTTATCAGATTTATATGACTGGACCATGAAGCTGAGCTGTTCCCAGGGTTCTCAATAGCAGGGGACATCACTGTTGTAGTCTTAGAAACCTGCCAGTAGGCCAAGGCATTCCAGGAACCTTTAGTCTGGAAGAGATCCCCAGAAGTCACTGCGTGCAGTGCTTGCCTGTTTAAGGCCACAATCAATTAACCACAGATCGTTCATGGCTTGCTTTTTGCCTTAAAGTCACTTGGTTGCTATGCCTCCGCTGAATCATCTAGGATTTTACAGCCCTTCGGATCAGTTGGTTCTTTTTAATATCTAGCCCAAATATCTCTGGTTACGTCCTCTTTGGGCCTTCTCACAGTAGGACAATAGTTAACGTTTACCGAGTGACCACTACGTCCACAAAATCCTCTTAGTGAATCCCGACAAAACCCCTCGTGGTGGGCACTATCATCATTCCTAATTTAGGAGCAGTTATGTAACTTGCCTAAGGTCATACCTGGGTGTGGGGCAGATTCTGTGATGGAACCATCAGACCCCACTGCCTCTTAGGCACTCGCACAGTCCTGAAGGAAAAACCGGCTGGCGTTCTAATTGTGCACGCGTGCCTCATGCTGGCTTAGGTCGAGGCCCCCCAGCGTGCTGAGCCATGCTCTTTCCAACTGCTGGGCCTACGATTGTGCGGGCCTTTGCTATCAAGCTTAGCCTAGAAATGTGGCGTCTCTTTGCATAAGGTCTCACAGCCCCCTCTGCTTTTTTGAAGGCATTCGCCACTCTTGTAATTACTTTGCAATTAATGAAGTGCAATGTAATTGAATTGAAACACTCTAAACAGATTCCGTCCATGTTTATTTTTTAAGTGGTTAAAACATGGGAACTTCCAGTTTATGTAGATTTCAGAATCCAATATAATTTTCCTAATAATAACAATACAATAAACGCAGGGTTGCCGACACGTGTGTTGCTAAATGAGGGTATTTTAAAAATGACTACCTTTCATTATCACCACCTTCCTCTTAGAAAAAAGACACTTTCACTTTATACATACATGTTTAGAATAACGATTTTGTCCTTCCTGAGAAGCAAGGGTTGGCCGGCCTACATCAGTCTGGCTAGAAATAAAATAGATATGCTAACCTGTTTTGGATATGGAAGTATTACAAGAGAAACAATTTCAAGTGTTACTTTGTATGTAATTATCTCTTGATTTGTTTCTCAGGACGGGGATGGGTGTTCAACAGGGACATGCAGAGTAGACCCTCAGTGTCCAGCTTGTTATTTTTCTCAAATTCATGAAGGAATGTTGACAAATCCAGAACACTCAGCAATTTTGCTCTCGGAGGAAACTTTTAGGCAAACTGAAAGGAGCCAAGAAACAATAGCAGTCATGCCTCCAACTGCTTCCTTCCTTCTCCAGCCACACGCCAAGGGGATAGTGGGCCAAGCACCGGGGCTGACAGCCAATTGTGGACGTGTCCAGGATTTTTCTGGGAAGGGTGACATCCACCACTGCTCCAACAGAGCAGGGACACAGGCACGTATGCCGAGGACACGCGATCAAACACAGAAGGCACTCTTTGCAGCACGCAGGACAGATTATGCTGCCGGAGGGGGGTGGGGGGAGGTGGCATTTGCTAGTTAGTTAAGGTGGGGCCGAGAAACCCTGGTCATGCTCAGGAAGTTCTCTCAGGGGAGGCAGGATGTTGGGCACTGCAACGTGTCATCAAGGGGAAAACTGGGGCAGAGAGGGGTAGCTCTAATTCTGCATCCCCTGGAAAACCAAGAGACCTGGACTGAGCTCCTTTACAGGAGGGGACAGCCCTTGCGGTGGGGGTGCAGGTGGGGGTGCGGGTGGGGGTGGCAAATTGCTGCACCTGCCTCAGGCCCACGGGCCCCAACGTGGAGTGAGCTGCCCCTGGGAACAGACTCCCTAGAAACGACAGGAAGTGGCATTCATGTGTGGTCAGAAACCGTGGGTCTTAGAGAAGAGTCCTGCCAGGCCCTCTGGGATTTCAGTGAGTTATAACAGAGAGATGGGCCCCTTGACTCAGTCAGTTCTTCCCTGCAGCTTGAGGCCCCAGGATTCAGGTGAGACGGAGTCTCATGTGGTTACAGGGGCAAATAGGTATACGACAAGAGACTCAGCAGGATCCATTTCATGGCTCACCACACATCTGACCAGCTGTTTCCTGGAGAGGAGCAGCAAACACTCTTGTGCGCAGTGACACCAGCCCCTGCTGGGGCCTTTGGGGGCACGAGGCCAAACTCCTGAGGTCTTCTCCCAGCTCGCAGGGCTGCCCTCTGGGCCTTCATGACTCCTACTCCAGGCACCAGGGGAGAACTGACCCCCTCCTCCCCTCGGAAAGCAGCATCGGTCCCGACAGAGGAGCACCTCGCGGCACTACAAAGGAGCACAGCCTTTAGAACCTCCCTCTAGAACAGCCTTTACCTACTGTCTCGTCCTATGCTCCCCTGCCCCACTGAGTCATGCTCCCCGAGGGTACAGACCCGCAAGACCTTCTTGTTCCTGTCAGCGCCTTGCAGTGCTGGCCCATGCAGGATGTTTGGTAGAAACTTGAAGGGTGAGTAAACCCGAGAGGGAGGAGGAGGGAGGGGACAGATCAGGCGAGGGAGCCAAGGCTGGGAATGCCTTCACAGGGCTTAGTCCCAGGGAGCTAGAGATCTTGTCCCCTGGGAGGCTCCTGAGTGCTCTCCTTTTTGGTTCAGGACTGGCCACCTGCTGGTCTTCTCTAAGCACGCACCCTGTGTGCCCCACCGGCAGCAACTGATCTGCCCAGGAGAAGAGGACACTCCCAGGATTGGGTCCCTCCACTCTGTCTGCGAGGAGGGGCCTCTGGGTTTCGTTTGTCTTCGCAACAGATTTTTTTTTTTTTTAAGTTTATTTATTTATTTTGAGAGAGCGAGGGAGAGTGAGGGAGAGCACAAGCAGGGAAGGGGCAGAGAGAGAGGCTCCCAAGCAGGCTCTGTGCTGTCAGTGCCGAGCCCGACAAGGGGCTTGAACTCCTGAATCCTGGGATCATGACCCACGCTGAAATCAAGTATCTGATGCTGAACCGACTGAGCCACCCAGGCGCCCCCTACGACAGCTCTGACGCATGGGAGAAAGACCAGCTGCCTTCATTTCCACCTGCAGAAGGTGCGGGCCACACCTCTCTCCCTGTAACCAGCCCCCTCCGGCCTCACCACCCTCATCACCTTGCTCCAGTTCGGCGGCCCTGCCGAGCACCGTCGGGATTCTGAAAGCATCCCCCGCGTGTCTTCCTAGGGGAAGCTTGTACTCGAGCCTGTCTCACATACCTGTTTTCAAGAGAACTACCCGGGCGTTGCCTTTTTACTCCTACGTTCCTTGGCTGTCTGCCCCAGTAGCCTGGAGGGTAGGTAGGAGCTTTGTTTTCCCAGCACTTAAAATACCGTCTGGCTCAAGAGTTGATCGGTAAGTCAAAGTTTAGCATAAAGCAACATTAGCACACGGTACGTTTACACGGCAGGACACTTCATGGACCCTCATCCCGGCTCTCCTTCACAAAGCAACAGGCTCAGGACTCGTTAGGGCTGGTGTAACGTGAGGGGGTGAAGGTCGGCTCCCGGAGGAGAGACTTCTGTCTGTTCACCACTTACCAGTCTCTGGGGCAGTGCCTGGCCAGCAGCATGCGTTCAATAAACATCTGATTCTGTTTCTCAGTCCAGGGATTGCAGAATAGGAGCCGCCCCTCTCTGCCTTATGCTTCCCTCTTACCACCTGGCGGAACCCGACATCCCGTTTCCCCCGAGACAGCCCCCTGAGGAGGTGCAACCTGGTGTCCTTGAGCCCCAGCTTGACTAACCAGCAACGCCAGCCCCTCTGTAGCGGCGTGACAGAGCTGTCCTCTGTGCCGATACAAGCGCCTTCTGTCTTCAACCGCGTGCCCTCGCATGCGTGCCTGTGTCCCTGTGCTGCTGGAGCCATGGTAGATGTCACCCTTCCCAGATAAGCACCCGAAGGCTCCCTACAGGCCACCAGCCCCAGACACCTTGAAGTCCCTTCCTGGCCTCCAGATTCTATGGACAGGGGACCTGTGACGCTCCGGTCCCACCTCGAACCGGAGCCCCTCAGAGCTTTGTCCTCCACTGCAAATGCCTCATTTTGCCCTTGTTGATACAGTTTTGCATGTGATCTCCTGGCTGCTCTATGTGAGTCTGTTTTGTCTTCCTGCCTAGATAATAAACTCAAGGCCAGGGACTCGCCGACCGAGTAACAGAGGCAAAGGCAGGCTTTTTGGGCTTTTGCCTCATCTGATTCTTATTAAAGCCCTCCCACTTCCAGGCGGTCATCCTTCATCCTTGTCAACAAGAAGTTTATCAGCAGGGTTGACTCACACACGGGAGGTGCAATCTCAATTCTGGGCAGGGAAAGAGGAAGCGCTGTCAAAAAAACCTCTATAGATTATTTCCAGAGAGCTTTTGTATTTGGTTTTTTTGGGGAACTCCCAGACATGTGGGCCCAGAAAACCATTAGGAAGATGTCGAAAATGGAAGGAGGGACAGGGGCGTGATGGCGGAGTAAGGCTTGCAGATGGGGAGAGGTGCTGTCGGATTCCGGACTCGGCAATCGCCAGGGATGGCGCTCCCAGGGATTTGCAGAAAGCCCTCGGCACGCTCCCAGGTCAGCTGAAGCCACCGCCCCCCGACTTGGCTGCTCTTTTCTCAGGATCTGCCCACCCCGCTCTTTCGCACCACCTGCCTCCCCAGGCCCTGGCGTCGGTCCACACCGAAGGAGACCAATACTTTATTCACATACTAGAAATAAGCCGGTACAAAATACAATTTTGAAAAATCCACTTGGTGCGAAAACTCCCTCCATCCCTCCCCGCCCCCCCCCCCCCGCCAGCCCGCACATCTGTGTTCCTGTCCCAGGGGACGGCCCCTGGGCCACACTCAGCTCCTCTGGGCCTCCTGCAAGAGCTGGAGCAGGGGGTCGTCGGCCCGGAGGGCAAAGGTGAGGGTGCGCCGCTGGTAGTGCTCCGGGTCACACTCCAGGTTCTCGATCACCTCTGCTAACAAGTGAGCCCGCTCCACCGCTGAGCCAGGGGCCTCGAAGCCCAGGGCAGTGAAGTGCACGTGCAGGTGGTAGTAGGAAGGCAGGTAGTGCAGGTACACTCGGAGGCGGTCCCCCTTCACCCCGTAGCGCTGCAGGATGGCTTCCTGAGAAAGGGTAGCGGTGGGACGGGTTACCGTGCTGCCCACGGGCCAGCGCCAGAACCCTCCTCTAGGCCCAATCCCCGACTAGCCTCCGGACGTCTGATAAAACCCTGCAAACAGCTCCCTGCCCACAGTTTGCTACAGGTCTCTGTGTTCCATTCCAGGGAGTCAACAAAAACAGGTGACAGCCGCAAGGGGAAGGCTCCTTCTCCCAAATGAAGGGAACGGTGGCCTCCATTAGGGTTCCACACTCCAACCTGCACACAACACTCAGGCTCCTCAGACAGTCGCTACTGGGAATCTAGGAAGTCCCAGTGCCAAGAGACAGGCCCCAGATGCCCAAGACTATGGGGACCATCCTCCCCCCAGGTGACCGATGCGTGCTTAAGTCACCGGGTAAGTGGGAGGGAGGCTTGTACCCCCTCTTAGCATGGAAGAGTGCACAGCCGGGAACAAGGGTGACAGGGATGGGGCTGAGCCGAGGCCTGGTGGAAGAGAGAGGGTGGGGGAGGGTGCATGGGAAGGGCTGCCCCTAGAAGATCCGGGGAAGGTCTCGCTGGACTCCTGGAGGAAGCGGGGAACACGGACCTTGGCCCTGGCTCCCTCTGACCACCCTCCACCTTGCTCAGGGGTTAGGGCTTTTTCTACCGAACTCCCTTTCAGGAGCCTCCTAGGCTTGGCATTGACAGGAGACTCTGATTTCCATTCTGGGTGAATCCCTGAGGAGGTCAGAGGTGAAGAGAAAAAGACTAGGGTCTCAGTGGGCTCAGAATACACGCCACAATTACATCCTGGACTTGGAACTCCGCCTGGGGATCTCTGCAGCAGTGTGAGGTCAAGGCCGGGGCACCCAAAGGCCTTCCAGGGATACGTATGCCTGGCCTGTCTGGGCGAGGCTGCCTGAGCTGCAGGGCAAGTCCAAGTGTAGGCCCCGCATCTCCCGGAGAGAAAGACACCACTCTCTGACATCCGCAGGCGTTTCAGCAGAGAAGCAAATGACTCCAAAAAGAGTCAGGTGGCCAGAGAGACAGTGATGTGGGCAGGCGGGAGGAAGAAGGCCAGGCAGCTGGGGTCTAGAGGTCAGCAGAGAGCGGACCCACGAGAGCCCCTCCCCCAGGCCTGCGGCAAAGCCTCTGAGCAGCAAGGTGGCGAGCTTCTCTCCTGGCCGGGCACCCTGGTGACTGCTGGGCCCTGGCACGGGGGCTGCATCTTTGATTGTTTCTGAAACATCTCTGAATGTTTCTGAGAACGACATCACAGAATGGGATTTAGCAGCATTGCATCCAGATACTGAGGCCCAGAGAGGTGAGGTGAAGAGTCCTGCCCAGAGTCTCTCCAGTGGTTAGGATCAAAATGTCAGAATCAAGACCACAACTCAGGATTCTAGATTCACTTCTCCCGCCTTCCTTTGCCTCTTTACTTTCTATTTATTTTTTTGAAAGGGGGAGGGTGCAAGTCAGTGAGGGGCAGAGAGAGAGAGAATGGGGCTTGAGCTCACCCAATGTGGGACTCGAACTCAGGAACCATGAGATCGTGACCTGAGCTGAAGTCAGATGCTTAACCGACTGAGCCACCCAGACGCCCCAGGGCTCCTCTTTACTTTCATGTGATTCAACAAATATCCCAGTATAAAGCACCCCAGAATGCCAGGTGCTACAAAATTCAGTCTCTGGCCATAGGGGACCCATCTCCCCAAGAAACATGTCTGGTGCAATGTGGCTGTCATGAGCAGACACAGGTGATCCTGGGATGGGAGGGGAACCTTGGCGGAGGAAAGGTGGCTGAAAGTAGAGCTGAAGGGTAGGGCAGGACCAGGAGACAAGGGCCTTGTGAGTCCATCTAAAGGACCTTCGTGAGGTCCTGGGACTGGCATCCAGAGACAGGCCCCTTTCACAGATGGACTTCTGGAAAGGGTGAGGAAAGCGGCCACGAACACACTGGAATTGGAATATGATTCCTCTGGGCTTCAGTACGGATGTGGCCAAGGCAACTCACCTGCCCCTCCCGGAGGATGTTCCTGAGCAGCGGCAGGTGCTCTGGAGCAAGGTCCCGCAGTGATCTGATGCCCCGGCGATGGCAGATGGCAATCAGGTACAGGTCATCTAGCTGCGCAGAGATCGGCACGGGTGAACCAGGCTCAGCAGGGGACAGAGCCAGGGGAGGCTGCCAGGGAAGCCAGGAAGTACCCACCCCCAGGCCTGCTGTAGCACCAGCCACAGGCGATCCCGGGGAGCCCACGGGAGGACCAATCCCTGGGCGGTGGGGGCCTCCACATGCCTGGGATGAGTGGGACAGTCTAAGGATAGAACTTCCGTTTATTCTTCCTGCTAAAGAGTACCATATAGGAATATTTATATACTCACAGAGCTGACGAGGGGGTGGGAAGAGAAGGTTCAAAGAAGTGCCAAGGACAACTTTCCCTCCAAGACTTTAAAATCTAATAGCATATAGGTGAGTAACTACTACAAGACACAAAGTGATAAAAGTACAGGAGGAAGAAGGAAAGACTATCTAGCTAGGGTGATCCAGACATGCTTCCTGGAAGAGGAGGTAGGGGACCCAGGTCCTAAAGAAGGGGTAGCATTTAGAGGAAGAGCATTCAGGTTAGAAGGAACAGTGACAGCAAAGGCTCAGAGACAAGAAAAGTATACAGCATGTGAGGGGCAGAGTAAGTAATTCGATTTGTCTGGAGTCCAGTGTAGGGGAAGGATGTAGAAGGATTTGAAAGGTGGAAAGGGGCCCCGGGGCCAGCTCAGCAATGAGCACCACCAGAGCACTTAACCTTTTCCTCTCTTCCCCTAACGCACAGGGCTCACAGGCCAACCCTTCCGGCTGTCCTTCCTGAAAACGGCGCCTGGCCGAAAACCTGGAGGTCACAACAGTGTAAAGAACCAAAGTCAACAAGATCTTGTGCCAGAGAGCAAATAAACTCTTCTTCTGCCCAGAAAACCTTCCCGCCCTCCCTGCTCACCCACACTGGCCCTGGCCGACTATCACATCCATGTGCGAGGCAGGCCCCAGACACCAGGGCTCCAAGGAGCAAGACGCAGGAGGAAGCCGGCAGCACTCAGCCAGGCAGCGTGAGCTGCTACATCCCTCAAGGACATAATCTGGGGACCATGAGTCACCAACCAAATCCCCAAGGGCCCCAGTTTGAAAACTGAGAAGACGGTTTTCCATATGGTGCCTGGTGTCCAACTGTGCCCCTTCAGGCCAACAGTCTCTTCCTACCACATTCTTCTCTGCACGAGTTCCAACAATCCAGGCTCTCTGCCTCGGGCCGGCTACAGACCAGCCCCGTGGGAACCGCCCAGCAGCTGGCTGAGCTGTGCCTACCTAGGCTTCAGTTTTGCCCATCGGTCTCTCCCAGACTCTCCCTTCTCATGGCCTGTGCCCAGGACATTTGCTCTGTCCCTCGTGAGGAGCCCAAGAGAAGCAGGAAACAGAACTGCTTGAACTCGGGGTGTACATGTGCCTGTCAGTGTCTCCAGCCGTTCTTATATGTCACTGTCACAGACTCTCAAATAACAGTGGCATTTGTTTTAGATGATGTCTGCTGACAAATCACAAATGTGGCATTAAATCACACCTCTCTGCTCCACTGGCAGGGAAAGAAACCCATTCTGTGATAGGCAGACGTGAGCCCAGATTTTCTGCAGGCAGCCCAAGGGCCCCCGGCCCAGAGAAATGGCATGAAGAAAGCCAGACAAGGAGCTGGCAAGGGTCTCAGGCTGGTATCCCTCAAGCTGGCCCATCGGCCACTTCGGGCAGGCAGTCACCACTGATCTCTTTTTACAAGGCAGGACAGCAGAGTCAAAGGAACGGCTTCCTGGCAAGGGGCACGGTGGAGAATGGCCGGAGGGCCATCTTTCCACCTCTGGAGCGACCCAGAGGAAGAGTTTCTTGGTCTGAGCCCTTTAGATCAAAGAACCTACATTATATGAGCGGAAAGTGCATGTTGTGTCCATAGAAACACACCCTATATACTTATATACACAACGTGCAGAGACGATACCTGGAAGGAGAGACAAAGACATAATCTCTTTTGAGAAACAGTCCCTTCTGGGGAACGGAAGTGGAAGAATGTGGGGTGAGGGAACTTGCTTTCACCGCACTATTTATTCTATTCTGCACTTTTACCTCGTGCATGTCTTAACTAGACCTTAAAAAAAAAAAAACAAATAAAAGAGAATATACAAGTGATCTCTTAAAAGAACTGAGGAAGGGATATTATAAACTCCAAGGAGGCAAGATTCTCTAACAGACATTAGGCATTTGATAAATCTTGTGGAATGGATAGATGGGTGGATGGATGGACAAACGGACAAAGTCTCTTTAATCCTGGGCCAGCAGCTGGGAGGCGAGGAGATTCCTGGGTGGCTAGGAAGGCTCCTTCGGGCAAATATGGCGGGTTCCTCTCTCCTCAACCCTCCTCTAGTACAAGGACAAAGAAGTCCAGGCCCGGTCTGTCTCGCCTGCTGGCCACGCTGCCAAATTCTAAGGGAGCAGTCAATTTCAGTGTTCTGTCACAAGCCAAGGATTTGAGACAACGAAATATGGCACCACTAAGAGACAAGTGCTAATTAAGGAAAGGTTAAGAACAATTGCACCTGTATGACCATTAAGGGAAACGTGACATTTAAGCTGGCCTATTCACAACCCCCAAGGGCAAGTCGCCCCAGCCCTGTGGCTGGGAGCCCAGTGCAGCTACTGAAGACTTTTCTGTCTTAAAGGGAACAGAGAGACAGGGCAGTTCCACCGGCAGGCCCAGCAGGATGCCTGCCAGCACAAGGTCAAAAGGACAATGGATTTTCATTCTCAGGGCCCTGGGCTCAAGTGTGTTCAAGGGCTTCTTGAATGGAGATGCAGGAGTCAATCTTTTGCTGTCGCCGCCTGGCCCTCAGACCACCACCTCCTACGAGTCACAAGCTCCTTAGTCTTCAAAGATCTCGTGAGGCAGAAGTTCCTTCTACCTCACATCCCATCTCCCGTGACCCAGTCTGTGACCCGGGGCCTCCGGGCACGGGGCTGCCCAAGGGGACAGACAGGGGGTTTGCAGAGCTGCACTCCTGCTCTGTGGCCTTGTCCCTGCTCCCAGACGACTCCAGGGCCAGACCTGGCTTCTTCCCTCAAGGCCTGAGGCGGAGATAAGCTGAAGGGCAGGGGGTAGGGGCGTGGACACAGGAACCCCTGCAGCCTCTCTCCGCCACAACACCCTACTAGTGGACAGTTATCTCCTTCCGTCTCACTTGCCTCACACAAATCATCACTCAGTGCTACAACTTCTGAAAATCCCTTCAGATTCTCTACCACCCCTCAGGCCAAGTTCAGTAACTCCCAGGAGCTGCTCTTAAGAGGCAGCTGGCACTCACTTGCCCGTGTACCTCTGAGCTGAAGTCCTGTCCCTTTACCCCAACCGCAGGCCCTCGCCCCCCTTTTCTGGGTAGTGAAGGAGTAGCATTGTAGATCTAGAAATCACCAAATCAAAACCAAGTAAACTGCGGGTGAGCCCAGTTTAGGACCCAAAGGCAGGCCATGACTGAGAAAGCGGGAGGGAAGGTGTGCGTGGGGAGGTGACTGACCGGACTCTAGAACGCCACCTGTGTGAGGAGCCCAGGAACCAGAAGGGTCCACCGGAGGGCAGCGCGGCAAACCCACGCTCGGGTGACTCAAAGATCTAAACCAGAAGAGAGAGTTTACCTCCTCTCCACTTCCTACCCAGCAATCCCGCGTCTGGCTTCCTTGGCCTCACCGTGGCCCCTGGCCCGCCACAGGCTGAGCCCGGCCCAGGTCCACGTTCCAGTCCGTGACGTGAACAGCCCTTCCTGCAACACGGTTCTCTGCCTGCTGCTGATGCCAGGGGTATCCAGTCTACCCAAAGAGGTGGTGGTCCATTGCAGCTTTGGTGGTGGGCTGGGGTGGCAGTGAGGAAGGGAGGCGAAAAAGAGAGAGACGGAGGCTACGGAGAACCAGACAGAGAGGGTGAGTGAGGTCAGCTCACCCTGGAAACCTGCTCCTTGGGACAGTGGAAGCGAGGGGCATGGAGAGCAGGAAACAGCTGAGAGGCCTGAGTGGAAGCCTGGGCCACTGGAAGACCCCTCTTGCTCTCGGGCGGTAGAGGGGACCCTTTGCGTTGGTTGCCATGGCTCCTTCCTATCAGTGCTTCAGGTCTTAGGCCTGCCTGGATCTGCTGGTATGCAGGGGCATGGAAAGAATGTAAACAGTCCTCTTTAGGGCTCCAGGTGCTCCTGGAAGGGAGGGTGGCAGCTGAGCCACTTGGCTGGTTAAAGAATGGCCGTATGCTTATGGGCGCAAACATCATGCCATTCTTTCCCCTCTGCGTGGGAGGACAGCCAGAGAGAACTTCAAGTGGACACGTTAAGGTGTGAATGTTTGTGCACAGCTCGGGTTTCTGTTGTTGGTTAATTAAAATCGGCTTAGAGAGAGGAACCAAGGTGAGAAAGAAGGGCAGGACTAAGGAGGCCCAACAACCTAGAGCAAGTACTGGGAGACCAGAGAGCCCCAGCAAGAAAGTTTTTACCTGCTGTTGGTTCCACTTGAGATCGGGGATGAGGACAAAGCCATCAGAGGGATCTGGGTTCTCAAAAACAATCCGGTCAGCTTCAGCCTTCTTATCGAGAATGTTGTACACCCACTGGAAGGAGGGGGAGGGGGGGTCACATAGCTACTCACAACCTCTGGGGAAACACCACAGACCAGGCTAGCTAAGCTCTCCGACCCCTCCAGGAAGGACAGCCAAGCCATATAGGGTCACTGAGCTCAGGGGGTCTACACTCAGGCTGCCTTGTCCCCACCGATCTGCTCTTGGGGGTCCAGAAGAGACTTCCCCTCTCCCACCACAGCCATCCCCTCAGGGGCCACTGCAGCTCGGATGGGGCCGTTTCTTTGGGTCCTTCCTGCGTTTAGGCCATGTACATGCTCTGCCGTGGCCTCGCCGGCCTGTGTGCATCCATCCCCGCTCCTGCCCGCGGGACTCGCGAATAGCGGTCTCCGTGGGCCCCTTCCCACTTTCTTCATGACCACAGACAAAGACAGGGTGGGACTTCCTTCTGCGGAGGGAGCCAGCTGCACACCAGGCCTAGACATGGATGTGTATGGGTTTCCCACCCTGCTGGGTGGGACTCTCATTTGTGGTGGGATTGGCGCCTCTGCCCACCTGCAGCCACAGCGGCTTCCGCTGACACGGCCCTTGTGTGACAACACAGAATAGGCACAGCTGGGAGACAGCAATTACACGGACCTTTCCTGTCAAGCCAGGGCCTCCAGCCCCTCTCAGACCCTTTTACCGGCTGCTGGCAGTCTTCAGAGGACCCTTCCTTGAGTATTGTGTGGATCCCGAGGATGTCGTTTTACCTTTAGGGTCCTGGTGGCCTCTGTGAAGAAGCCAGCCTGCAGGGGGGTTAAGAGAAGAAAGCCCCTGTTCTCACGGGGCTCACAGAGACCTCCTCTCTTCACTTCCCCAGAGCTCTGAGTCAACTCCCAGCTTGAAATCCGAGACAGAAGGCTGCTGCAGAGCCAGACAGAGGGCAGCGGCTGGGCCTGTGCCTGGGAAGGGCCTTCCGGCTCACCGAGGGGGCGGATCGAGAGGCCCAGGCACGGACATGGCCAGGCCGGCGGAGGGCTCCTCTGCCCGCTCCCGGGAGTTCTAGAACAAGCGTGTCCGCGAAGGCCAGGGGGCCGTGGGAGCTGATCTGCTGAGTCCACATCCCCACTCTCGGCCGGTGCGGCCAAGGTCAAACGCGACCGTCTGAGACGGAGAGAGCAGAGGGTACCTGCCTGGGGGTATCTGGGGTTCCCAGACCCCTGGTAAGGCCAACAGGTCGGTCACCATGTGGCCCGCCCACTACAAAAGAGGGGCCTTCCCGCCACTTCCTGGGAGCGGACTGGAGCACAGCCAGCAGTGGCTGCCCCACGCAGCCCCGGGGTCTCCCACGGACGCATTTCCTCTCCTGCTGGAAGTCTCGCTGGGAACGTGCTGCGGCAGAAAAAAAAGCCAGCCGGAACATGACCCAAAGTGCCCCAACGGTAAAGGTGAGGGAGGTGAAAGATGACGCTCTGTGGAGAGCCCTGGAGCAGCCTCCCTGGGGCCTGGGCTGTCTTTTGCCCCCAGATAAGCAGCCCCCTCAGACTGGAAAGTTGTGTAGTCGTAGACAGAGAACAAACTGGTCCTGGTGTCCTCTCCTGCCTCCTCACTAACTAGCTGACACCTTGGGCAAAGTGGTGTACTCTCTGAGCCTCAGTTTCCCCCTGAGAGGGGACTGGAGTCTCCCCCTCTGAGACGATACCTGCACGGCACAGAGTGGTGAGGAGTGAAAAGTGACTGACAGCGCCTGGCACAGAGGAGGCCCCATAAAGGCAGAGGAAAGTGCTCAGAAAGCTCCAGCAAGAGGGGGCGTTGAGCCGCAGCCTCGTGGCGATGACAACAGGCGCTCTGCCGGAGGCCGCTGCACCGAGAGCAGAGGCCTGGTGGTGGTGAGCAGCCCTCCCACGTGCGGGCCCTGTTCTCAGGGCCTCCCAGGGACTACCGCGCGCAGCAACCCGGTCAAGCTGGTGTCGCTGTCGTCCTCACGTTGTAAGGAAAAAGCAAGCATGAGGAAGCCCAACCAATTCCAACCGAGTCTGGCCCCACAGCTCCGGCTTCAGGTCACGGGAGCAGGCCTCTGGGAGAGCAGGGGCGGGAGGTGTGAATCCACGTGAAGTCCCAGGCCAGCAGCCCAGCTGAGAAAGGGAGGGGGCCAGGGAACAGAATTCACACAAATCATGGGGGGGGGGGGGGCGGGGAGGGGAGGGGCAGGGCCTGTAACGGGGAGCGAGCCCATCAGGATGCAAGCCTGGGGGACTCAGCCACCCCCGGCTTCTGGCAGGCACCTGGCATAGCTTCCTTGCGGCAGGTGACACCGGCAAGTCTCCCCTGGGATACCTCACTCCCTGTTCGCTCTCCTCCTGCTTTTCTGCTCGCCCCCCTGCTAGCCGCTCTCCTCCGGCCACCCCTCACCTGTCCACACCTCCGCTGTATCGGCACTGCCCTCCCCTGACCTCACCTGTCCTCGGAATGGGACCTGCGTGTGCATAACGGCAGCTACCGTCCTGGTGCCCAGCCTGTGCTGGAACCAACAGCGGGGACGTGATCTGTGATGCCCCTCTCAATCCCCACTGGGACCCCACTTGCATTTTCCAGGCGAAGAAATGGGGTCAGAATGGCAGGACACTCACACTGCTCGGAGATGGCAGAATGGGAATCCAAACCCTGGACGGACACTGACCTCAACCTGACGACTCACAGACCAACACTTGTAGCCTGATGGTCTCTAACGCTCGGGATCCGGATGTCAGATGGCAGTACTTTTCTCTTTTCCTTTCTTTCTTTCCTTTCATTCACTTATTAATGTTTATTTCTTTTTGAGGGGGGAGGGGGAGAGGGGCAGAGACAGAGGGAGACACAGAATGCGAAGCAGGCTCCAGTCTCTGAGCTGAACCCACGAACTGTGAGATCATGACCCGAGGCGAAGTTGGATGCTTAACTGACTGAGTCACCCAGACGCCCCTGATGGCATTATATACTGAGAAGTTACAAGAACCTCAAATTTGAGGAGCCAAATAGGGTGGTCGGCCGGCAGCATGGGCACCGGGGTGACACTGACGGGCTGTGAATCTCGTCTCCAAATTGCTGCTGAGTAGAGTCAATGAGGGAACGCACAGAGAAAGCTGAAACAGTCCCGGGCACCTGGTGAGCGCTCCCAAGTCCCAAACTCAACTGTTTCCGACATAAACCCTCTCCGCTGCCCACAACCCCTGTCCTGGTTAGTGACCCCGCTACCTATCCATGCTCCATCCAAGCTGGACCTGGAGCCACCCCCAGACTCTGCTCGCCTCTCGAATCCGCCAGCTTCGAGCCCTACTTCTCAAATCACTGCCAAAGCCTTCCCCACTGTCTCGGCCTGGGCCGGGACCCACGCTGGTCTTTAGAGCCCTCCACACTCACCAAACTCGAGCAATTCTTTAAATCTCGTGGAACCCATATACTTAAACCCGTCTAGGGGGACCCTCATTGCCTGTGGCAACTGTTCTCAAATCTGATGATCATTAGAAACATATTTTTTAAAAATACAGATTTCCCGGGGTGCCCGGGTGGCTCAGTGGGTTGACTGTCCCATTCCTGATTTCGGCTCCAGTCATGATCCCATGGTTCGTGGGCTGGAGCCCCGTGTCGGGCTCTGCTCTGACAGCGTGAAGGCTGCTTGAGATTCTCTCTCTCTCCCTCTTTCTCTGCCCCTCCCCTGTTTGTCCACATGCGCTCTCTCTCTCTCTCTCTCTCTCAAAATAAATAAATAAACCTTAAAAAAAAATACAGATTTTCCATGGGACGCCTGGATGGCTTACTCGATTAAACATCGACTTCGGCTCAGGTCATGATCTCATGGTTTGTGAGTTGGAGCCCTGCATCACATCCGTGATGTCAACACGGAGCCCACTTCAGATCCTCTGTCCCCCTCTCTCTCTGCCCCTTCCCTGCTCATTCTCTCTCTGCAAAATAAAAGAAATAAATACAGATTTCCCAGCTCCACTCCCTGAACATCCTGATTCAGTAGACATGGAGTAGGGCCCCATGCTCTGTATTTTAAAAAATCTCCCCAGGCAATCCTGATGATCAGCCAGGTTTGGGAGCTCCTGGTGTCCTGACAGGTGCACACGCCTGCTTCTGGCCCCTGCCCGTCTGCTCCTGGTTTGTCCTGCTGACCCTCCAGCTCTCGGGGCCTATCTTTGTTCTTCCCTCTGCCTGGAATGCCCTTCTCTGCCTTGTCCACTTGGCAAACTTCCATCTGTCCCTTAAGACCCAACTGGAGGATCCCTTCCTCTGTAAAGCCCCCCACTGTCCAGGCTGATCACCTCCCTTTGTGTCACCACTGAACCTTGGATACAAACCACCCGCGGGGGAGTACTTATCCCATTGTACTGTGCCGGTCAGACTCCATGTCTGTCTTCCCCACAAGACTCTGGGGGCATTACAAGTGTTCACCCTGGTGACCCTCCAGAGCCTAGTACATGGCCTGGTACACAGTAGGTGCACAATTAATACAATGAGTGTTGCCAGTTGAGCTGAGTGCTTTGTAAACCTACTAGAAACAGTCAAGAAAGGATACACGAATACTTGCGTCAAACAGAACTTGGCCGAGTAGTAGGAGAATCTGGCTGTATTATTTTCCAAGAGGAAGTACACGGCAGTGGATAAGACAGTACGCATACAAGTCACACCGACTTTAAGAGCATCCTCCTTTGGATCCCATATTTGTGCAACTGGTGCCACAGAACATATATTCCAGGAGATCCCTCTGGGACCCTGAATGGCAGCAGCCATCTAGCAAGATGCAGACATATCTCCTTTCCATGTAGAAGACAGAGCAAGTATAGGGACTTAAAAAAAAAAAAAAATCACGCCAGCTTGAGCCAGAGGAACCTAGTGCAAATGTGGCACAGGGGGACGAGGACTCCCAGTCAGCGGGGTCTTCCCAAGCAGGAAAGCGGGCTGTCGCCCCACACGGCCTCCTGCACACCTGCCAACCACCCTTTCCTTACTTCTCCCATGTATAACTGACTTGGCGGGGCCCTTGGCCCCCACAGCCAAGGGCCCCCTCCCTTCTTTTGGCCCGGGAGACACGGCAATGAGTGCCCTGTGTCTGACCACCCCCAAAAGCCACAACCTGGATCTTGGGCAGAGTGGCTGAGAAACGCTCAAAGAGAACAAGGGTGAATGATGAAGAGACAGAGATGGTGAGAGCCAGCAAGTGAGCAAGGAAACGCCTCATCCATCATATTTAAGGCTGAGCATTCACTCGGGGCCGACTGCAGGCGCAGGCTCTGGTTGGCACTGGGCCTCGGCCCATCAAGAACTCGGGATCTCTTCGCTAAATGGCCTTGCATCTGGTCTAGTGGCTGAAGACACCGCCAAACCTCACATTAGCCTTTGGGAGAGGAGGCCCTGTGCTAAGCCACCAGGCACATCAGGACCCTGCTCTCTGGGGAACGAAAGCAAGGGGAACAAGTGAATGAAGTTTTTAACTCTGGGACTCGACTCCCAGAGGCGGGTTTGCACAGGCAGAACCAGGAATAACAAGTCTGGAACGGGGTGGGGTGGCTACCCTGGCGTCAGTCTTGACCCATTCATAGACCCAGGTGAGGGCACAGTCATTCTGAGACAGTATCAGCGCTGAGGCAGATACAAATTCTCCAAAGGCCTGGGCTGCTCTGAGAGTCCCACAGAGCCTCAGCGGCACGCCCAGGACCAGGGTCGAGCCTCTGGCCATGCTGGATAAAACAGCGGCCACCCCAGTCCAGCATTTCCCGTGCTACTCACCCTGGTTGCTTTCCCCACAGCACACTCACCCTCTCCCATCCTGTGCAGTTACTTACAAATCCGTGCGTTCACTCCTGCACAAGGAGGGGGCAGGGGTTCCACAGTGCTGCTTGTGCTACCCCAAACCTGTGGAACTGGGCTGGCCCTGCCAGATCCTCGAGACAGAGACTCCGGCCACAGGGAGCACTCTGTGTCCGCACCCCCTGGGGCCAGTCTGAGGCGCGGCGGCCAGTCACCTGGATGCTGAGGCTCTGGGACTCCAGGTGGGGCAAGGTGACGTTCTTGTAATCGGCCCCCGTCTCTCGGACCAGGTGGAGGTCCTGGCGCAGGTACTTTTCTAGGTGCTTCTCTGTGGCAGGGTAAACCACGGTTGTCTTTACGTCTGTAATGACAAACACAGCCCGGGACTCCAAAGTTAGGTGCACGCTCTGCACAGTCCTGTCACACTCTGGTCCCCAGCACAGAGAGGTGACCCCCACCCCCATCTCTGATTCCCCAATGAAAGGAGCTGAAGGCTAAGAGGTTATAGTCACCCGGGACCCATGAGGTGCCTCACGCCAATAAATTCATAAGTTGAATCACACTCAGCATCTGGGAGTCACAGGGTTTTTTTTCACTGATGATGGGTCGCTGGGCCCTTCACCACCCTTCCCCACTCTGTTTTCTAGGCACAGGAATGAAAGGTTTCTGACTCTTGTCACATAGCAAATTTCTTGGTATGTGGCTTTCTAGACCCAAAGCTGAAGATCTGACTTAAAGCTAAGTAGCCTTCCCTCATGCAAAGCAGAGCAGCAGAGCACCATGGTTAAAGGCGTGGACTCTGGAGCTGGACTGAGTTCAAGTCCTGGCTCTGCCTGTTCCTTCCTCGGGACCCTGACCCTGGTCCAGTTATTTAACCTTCCCAAGCCCCTACTCCCCCATCTGTCAATGGAGGATAATAATAGCTCCTATGTCACAGAGTTGGGAGGATTAAACAAGTTAATACCTGTGAAGCACTTAGAACACTGTCTGACACAAAGCAAATACTATGTGAGTGCTGGCTATTTTTAATCAGCCTTTCTCAACCCTGGCACGGTCCATATTTTGGACAGATCATTCTTGTCATATGGGGACTGTCCTGTATGCTACAGGACGGTTACCAGAACAGCAGATTTCTACCAGGATGTTAGTAAAATCCTGTCTCCAGCTAGGACAGCCAAAAACGTCTCCAGACATTGCCAAATGCCCCCTGGGGGATGAAATTGCCCCCAGTTGAGAACTGCTGTTTTCATCAGCAGGAAGTCTTATAGTTTTCCTAAACAGACACTAGGCTAGGGTTCTAGTCCAACACCACCTGGCTTTGGTTAAATCCTTTTCCCTACTTCTAATAACATCTGCTACAACTGTTATCATTTATACATAGTGCTTCCACATAGATCTTAAGGGCAGGAGAGGAAAATGGTGTTCTAAAATCAGGAGACATTTCTAATATGAACGACCCAATGTTAATACCCTCAATGGGGAAAAACTGAGAGCTTTCCCCCTAAGGTCAGGAACAAGACCGGGATGTCCACTCTCGCCACTGTTATTCAACATAGTATTGGAAGTCTTAGCTTCTGTAGTCAGACAACACAAAGCAATAAAAGGCATCCAAATCAGCCAGGAGGAGGTCAAACTTTCACTCTTCGCAGATGACATGATACTCTATAAGGAAAACCCAAAAGATTCCACCAAAAAACTGCTAGAACTGATTCATGAATTCGGCAAAGTTGCAGGATATAAAATCAATGCACAGAAATTGGTTGCATTCCTATACACCAACAATGAAGCAGCAGAAAGAGAAATCAAGGAATCGATCCCATTTACAGTTGCACCAAAAACCATAAAATACCTAGGAATAAATCTAAACAAAGAGGTGAAACATCTATACACTGAAAACTATAGAAAGCTTATGAAAGAAACTGAAGGAGACACAAAAAAAATGGAAAAAGATTCCATGCTCCTGGATAGGAAGAACAAATATTGTTAAAATGTCGACACTACCCAAAGCAATCTACATATTCAATGCAATCCCTATCAAAATAACACCAGCATTCTTCACAGAGCTAGAACAAACAATCCTAAAATTTGTATGGAACCAGAAAAGACCCCGAATAGCCAAAGCAATCTTGAAAAACAAAACCAAAGCAGGAGGCATCACAATCCCAGACTTCAAGCTATACTGCAAAGCTGTAATCATCAAGACAGTATGGTACTGGCACAAGAACAGACACTCAGATCAATGGAACAGAATAGAGAACCCAGAAATGGACCCACAAACATATGGCCAACTAATCTTTGACAAAGCGGGAAAGAATATCCAATGGAATCAAGACAGTCTCTTCAGCAAGTGGTGCTGGGAAAATTGGACAGTGACATGCAGAAGAATGAACCTGGACCACTTTCTTACACCATACGCAAAAAGAAACTCAAAATGGATGAAAGCCATTCTGTCAATGTACGACAGGAAGCCATCAAAATCCTCGAGGAGAAAGCAGGAAAAAAACCTCTTTGATCTTGGCCGCAGCAACTTCTTACTCAACATGTCCCTGGAGGCAAGGGAAACCAAAGCAAAAATGAACTATTGGGACCTTATCAAAATAAAAACCTTCTGCACAGCGAAGGAAACAATCAGCAAAACTAAAAGGCAACCGACAGAATGGGAGAAGATATTTGCAAATGATGTATCAGATAAAGGGTTAGTATCTAAAATCTATAAAAAAAAAAACCTATCAAACTCAACACCCAAAAAAAACAATCCAGTGAAGAAATGGGCAAAAGACATGAATAGACACTTCTCCAAGGAAGACATCCAGATGGCCAACCGACACAGGAAAAAATGCTCAACATCACTCATCATCAGGGAAATACAAATCAAAACCACAATGAGATACCACCTCACACCTGTCAGAATAGCTAACATTCACAACTCAGGCAACAACAGATGCTGGCGAGGATGCGGAGAAAGAGGATCTTTTGCATTGTTGGTGGGAATGCAAGCTGGTGCAGCCACTCTGGAAAACAGTATGGAGGTTCCTCAAAAAACGAAAAATAGAACTACCTTATGACCCAGCAACTGCAGTACTAGGCATTTATCCACGGGATACAGGTGTGCTGGTTTGAAGGGACACATGCACCCCCATGTTTATAGCAGCACTATCAACAATAGCCAAGTATGGAAAGAGCCCAAATGTCCATCGACAGATGAATGGATAAAGAAGATGTGGTGTATATATATACACATATATGTGTACATATGTATATATGTACATATATATGTACCTATGTATATATACATATATGTATATACGTATATACATACAGATGTATATATACGTATATGTATATATATGTATATACATATATATACATATACATATATTCATATATGCATCTGTACATATACACATACATATACATGTATACATACATACATATATATATGTGTACACAATGGAGTATTACTCGACAATCAAAAAGAATGAAATCTTGCCATTTGCAACTACGTGGATGGAACTGAAGGGTGTGATGCTAAGTGAAATTAATCAGAGAAAAACAAAAATCATATGACTCCACTCATATGAGGACTTTAAGAGACAAAACAGATGAACATAAGGGAAGGGAAACAAAAATAATATAAAAACAGGGAGGGGGACAAAACAGAAGAGACTCATAAATATGGAGAACAAACTGAGGGTTACTGGAGGGGTTGTGAGAGGGGGGATGGGCTAAATGGGTAAGGGGCACTAAGGAATCTTCTCCTGAAATCATCGTTGTACTATATGCTAACTAATTTGGATGTAAATTTTAAAAAATAAAAAATTAAATTAAAAAAAAAAACAAATTCAGGATGTTTCTCAACAGACCCATGTCCTGCCCGACTCTCTTACTCTCGATTCAGAGTGCTCGCCCAGGGTAACCTGAGGGAAGCCCAGCAGGCACACTTTAAAACTCCAGAAATTCCCGCACGCACCTACACTTTCGTACGTGGTCTGAGGACGTAGGCAATTTGAATCCCTGTTTCACAGGTGAGTGGGTTCACAGGAGTCAGGACTTCTGCCTCGAGATGTGGCAGAGGCAACGCCAAACGTGAGGTTTCCTTACCCTAAAAGCTGGTGCTCTTCAAACACCTGCCTGCTGGCCGCATATTATTCCAACAGTCCAGTGGGGACAGACCGAGGTGCTAACCCAGCACACAAGTTCCAGTGAGCATCAAACACCAGTCCTTCAGCTCTGGGAGGCACAGCAGCTCAGCGCAAAGACACAGGCTCTGGACCTGAGTTGACACCACACTCTCTCCCCCCCCCCCCCACCGCTTACAGACAGCCCGACCTTGGGTGTGTTATTTAACCTCTCGGGGCTCCAGTTTCCTCATCTGTTAAAGACTGGTCACAAAATCTGCCCTTAGAGTCGCTGTCAACAATAAACGAAACATGTCATGTGGACCAGTGGGGGGCACCACGTCCCCTCCACTTCCTGGGAATCTCTGGATCTGACCCTGAAATGGAGGCACAAAGGCCTCCTCACAACCCTCGAGGTGGCAGCAAAAGTACTTCCTCACTCCCAAAACCTTCTAATGGCCCTGGGCGAAAGGCCAGAGGTCAAGTACACCAGGTCCCAAGAGATAAGAAACTGCCAGAAATAGACCCAATGGCATTGCCTTGACCCTTGCAGTGTGCTCCAGGAAAATCCCTTATCCAAGAGTAGCTTTGCAGAGAAGAACGGAGATTCTAGCACCAGTCGGCCTGGGTTCAAATACTGGCTCTGCACTTAGCTGTGTAACCGGGCGCGGGTGACCTACTGTGTAGGGTGGTTATGAGAACTCAGTGAGCAGTAGGTGGGAAGCATTCAGCAGGTGCCCACCCCCACCCCCATGCCCCCTGCACAGAGAAGTTCTCTCCCAGGCTAGCTCTCACTGTTGCTGTGTTTGCTGTTACTTTGGTAGCCTGGGCTGGGCAGCGGGGAGAAAAGCCGTGAGTGGAGGAGCTCCCTCCGTATGGGAGAGCCGGACGGAGACAAAGGCCACACTCACGTTGGGGAACAGCCCGCCCTGCTGGCAATGACCACCGAGCCCCGGGCTCACAGCCTGGGGCTCCCTGGCGGTTTCAGATCAGAAAGCCGCTGGGCCCAGGAGCGCGCCCCTGTCTGCCAAGGCTTGTCAGAGACCGCCCCAGCCACCCAGGGTGCTGGGAAGCGGGGCGCCTCCCCAGGCCAGCCCCCTCCCGCCTTCCCCTTCCTCCCGCCTTCCCCTTCTGCGGCAGGGAAAACAGAAAAAGGCATTTTCCAGCTCCTTACTTCCTGCCATCTTTCTTCCTTTTCTGAGAAACTCCTGCTTGGATGTGGATGCAGAAGCCCCACTGCTGG